TGCGCCAGAGGTCTGCGCCGGACCAGTCGAGGGCGTTGACCCACTTCTTGTTGCCGACCCAGTTGCAGATAAAGTCGAGGTCGCCGACGTAGATGAGGGCCTTGATGCCGCGCTCGAGGAGGAGGGCGACGTTGAGGCCGTTGTCCTGGGCGGCGTCGTTGTCGTTGATGAAGCCCATGGCGACCTGGTCGTTGCACGTCTGGAACCTGCCGATCTCTTCGACGGGCGCGGCGCCCAGCAGCTCGCGGACGTCGGCGCGGTCGAGGTAGGCGCGGATGTCCTCCATGACGGCGTAGCACAGGTTGGGCGAGATGCCGGCCTTGCAGTCGTCGGTGATGTCGTAGGGGTTCATGCCCGTCATCATGTAGGGATCCTCGAGCTCGGCCGAGCACGTGTCGCGCGCGGTGCGGCAGAGGTCGGCCGAGTAGGTGGCGACGCAGTGGTCGTGGAGCCACCTTTCGCAGCGGGGCACCCACGAGCTCATGCGCTTGCACTGCTCGATGGGCAGGATGGGGGCGACGCCGCCGCGGCGGGTGCAGCTCATGTCGTAGTAGCCCGACATCTGCTTCGAGACGTCGGTGAGGCCATTGCCGACGATGATCGACTTGAGGTTGATGAGCTCGTCGCGCCTGGGCTTCTTGCCGGCCTTGCGGGCGGCGTGGCGGATGTGGGCGTTGCGGTCCTCGACCTCGCTGGCAAACACGGGGATGTAGCGGCCGCCGTACGACTCGCCCGACAGGTGGAAGTCGTTGTCGCGGAAGCGGTCAAAGGCCGAGAAAAAGATGCGCAGGAAGCGGTAGATGTCCTTTGCGGCGTCCTCGGTGTTGAAGCTGTGCACGCCGTAGCGCGAGTACGAGAAGCCGACGCCGACGGGCTGGTCGATGTAGATCATGTTTGCGCGGCTGTTCCACGACTGCGGGTGCCACTGGGTGCCGTTGATGGGCGGGCCGTCGGAGACGACGCCGCCACGCTCGGGGATGCGGCAGGGCCCGTGCTCCTGGAAGAGGCCGAGCGACGAGCTGCAGCCGGGCCCGCCGTTTGTCCAGAGGACGACGGGGTCGCGCTTGGGGTCGTTGCGGGACTCGAAAAAGTAAAAGAAGAGCGACTTGCCGTCGAGGGTGTCAATGTAGCCGCTCCAGCTGGTGACGGTGGGGTCGCAGAAGGCCTCTGGGTCGGACTTGTCCAGGCGGCTCGCGAAGTTGTTGGCAGGGGAGGTGGCCTTGGGGCGGGAGCCGAGCTGCTTGATGCGCACGCTGAGCTGCGGGAAGTCGCGGTGGGAGAGAACGACGTGCTGGCCGCGGTTGCGGGCGATGATGTCCTCTACGCTCGAGGCTGCGAAAGCGTTTGCGTCGGCCGGGTCGAGGGGCAGGTGGACGCGGAGAGGAGCGCCTGCGCCGGCAGCAGCGTTGGCCATGGGGGACGACGCCGAAGACGACGACGAGGCAGGGCCCGGGTAAGCATCGAGGTAGCTTGCGGCAGCCTCGATCTGGGAGTTGAAGCCGAGGCGGCGGTCGTTGGCGTTGGGCGGCGCGCGCGTTGGCAGCTGCGGGCTGCGTCGGCCGATTGGCATGTCGAGGTAGTCGGTGGCGGCGGGAGTGGCTGCGGCCGAGGTGGCGAGGGCCACGATGGCGGCGAGTGCGGAGAGGGCCACGTTTCGCATGGCGGGCGGCGTGGGCCAGGAGGCGGGGGAGGGGAGGAAAGACGGGTGATGGCGATGAAGGTGGTGGCGAGTGGCGAAGAGGAGGGAAAGGGAGGTGCAGCAGGGGCCTTGGGCTCGCGCGGTGGCCATCAAGGAACCCAATCTTATCCCCTGCCGGATCACACCCGACCGAAGTCAGGAAGGCCAGGAGCGAGACCAGGAGAGAGGCTGGCTGGCTGAGCCATCATATGCATGCAGGCCTGCCCACGCACGCACGGACCGCAGCGGCTTTCTGCCGGCTCCGGCGGCAGCCTGGGTTGCCCGCCCAGCTTAGACGCCGACGTAGTGGCCGCTCCCCCTCTCTCGGCTCGGATCGGCCCGCCGCTCCCCGCTGCGCAGACTGCGCTCACAGACGATCGCGACGACGACGACGACAACGACAACGACGACGACGACGGCAGCAGCAAATCGAGCCCTCTTGAACCGGAAAACCCCGTGGGAACGCATAGAGAGAGAGAGAGTATACATATGTACAGGCAGGCAGACGTGCAGAGGAGACCCACGCACAGCCGGCGTCGTGGCACTGCGCGCACCCCGAGGCTTCCCGGCCTCCCCTTCCCGCTCCCTTGATCGACGAAACACAACAACCTATTATAGCAACGGCGCAACGGCGCAGCGGAGACGTGGGACCCCTTTTTGAGGTGAATGAGAAAACCCGCCCAGAGATACAGGAGCAATACGGACCCGGACATGTTACAGATGGATGCCGTCGTGGCGGCGGCGGTGGTGGTGGTGGGGCCGGCGGTGGTGACGATACGATGACTTTTTTGATCCCTGGCTCTTGCAAATGGATGCCGCAGAAAAGAAGCAGAGAGGGCGCAACCTCGAACGTCTGGGCCGTTCGAGACGAGTCAGGCCGCCCTCGTCTGCTCGACGCCCTTAGCTCGGACGGCACCCTGCTGCCGTCCGACGTCGACGCCTCGTTTGTGTTTGCCAAATAGGGCAATTGCGCGCTGCGCTTTGCACCAGGCTCGAGCGGCACGCGACAGAGCCGCGAGCCGGACAACGCCCTTATGTCGGCCGCCTCTCGATGAAGATGCTGTTGCTAGCCCTCCGAGGTACGGCCGAGTGGCTCGAACCATCCTCGGCACGCTGCGCCGCCTCGATGCCAAGCCCTGTACGCAATCGTATGCTGGCGCCGTTGCTGCTGGAATTAGTCTCGCCACCCGCCTCGGCGGAGCGGGGAGCAGCGATGGCGTCCCCCCCTTCGCGCTGCAGGCGGTACTCGGATCGCCTCGAGGTAGAGGATGCCGTCGCTGGCGATCTGATCTGCGGCGATCCCGAAGGCGAGTGCTGCGGCGTCCCATCCACCTCGCCGAGCTTCCTGCGCACTCGCGCCACGGCCTCGCTCTCCTCTGGGTCCGAGTTGGATCGCTTCAGACCGAGCTGACCGTGGCGAGTGTCCTCATGAGGCGCGGCAAAGTGACCGGGTTGTCTGCCCGGGTCAGCAGTCCAGCCGTCGTATGGAGCGGGAGCGGCCATCGGATCGTACTCTGGCCCGCCGGGGACGCGGCCAAGGGGCGACGGAGGCAGGGGCTGCGTCGGCCCGGCGCGGTAAGCTTCCATGTCGCGGCGGTAGGAATGGCCAGGAACGCCGTTGATCATGGTGCGGTCGTCCGAGTGTCCGCTGCTGGCCGTGTCTCGCCGGGAGGATCCGCCGCCTCTGGGTCCTGGGTTGCCACGGGGATCGTGATCCGGCCGCCCAGGGTGATGGTGGCCGCCGTAGGGGTCGTGGTCGCGAGGCGGGCTGCGCGAGTCAAAGTCGACCCCGCCGCTATTGGCACGCATGCGATGCGTTTGCTGGATGATCGACTCGAGCTCGTGGATGTACTGCGGACGTCGAGTTGCGAGGTAAGCAGCGTCAGGGGACGCAATGGTCAGCTCATGCGCGCCGAGCTTGACGCTAGGGGCTGTCGCTGGCAAGGGCGGACGACTCACCTCTACCGCCCGGCGTAGCACAGTCGCCTTGCTGTCCTGACCGTCGCGGCAAGCGGGCAACGTCTGGCGAAGATCCTCGAAGCCCGTGTTGATCGACTCGCGCCGTCCTGATGGTCACAGGCGGAGAGAGATTGCGCCAAACGACCTAGTCAGCTGGCCATCTGGCATCGTGCAGCGGGCTGGCGCGTTCAAACGACGGCACGGGTACTTACGCTGCTCGGAGAGGAGGTGGGCGACACGACGGTTGGCGCTCGGCGTCGCCGCAGCCGCGGCCGGGGTCGGTGCTGGGACCGGGCCAGCAGATGCACTTCCGGGCACCGACATCAGTCCGACGGTCGAGGCAGGCCGAGCAAGGGGAGGTGCGAGGGGCATCGTGGCGCCCGAAGGGCCGGGGGGAGGACCCTCGCGCCCTGCGGGGAAACCAGACCGCGGCGGCGGCGGACCGGGATGGAAGTCTCGCGGCGAGGCGAAGGGGGGCACGGGGGACCGGACAGCCTGGGCACCGTATCCTGGGCCGCCAGGCGCCAGGCCCTCGGGAAAGGCGCCGATCGTCCCTCTACGGCGATCTTCGGGGCCGAATCCTGGCTCGCCGTCGCGTCGCTCCGACTTGGCACCATGGTGGAAGTCGGAGGGGTACGAGGCGCCGAAGCGATGCTGAGTTGCGTGCGGCGCAGGACCCTCCCAGTCGCGCCACGGCCCCGACCTGTCTCGGGCGAGGATCCCGTCGTCGCGCGGGCGCGGTGGGTAGCCATCTCCCTCGGAGAGCCTGCCAGGGTAAGAGGCCCGTCCCGACCTCGAATGCTCGAAGCCCTCGTCCCCCGTGGGCAGAGGGGGACCAGAGAACCTGGGGTCCGGGCTGTTCTCGACGGGCCGTGGCCAGTACCGATCCTCTTCTGGTGCCAGCGAGGGTGCGCCGTTCTTTTCGATCGGCCGCCGCGGCATCCCGGGCCCTCGGTAGGTGTCTTCGCTTTCGGGAGCATCTCGGTACGAGTATTGCAAGGCGTTTGTCCGTCGTGGAGAGACGGCGTGAGCGCGAGGCAGAGGGCGGTAGAGGTCGTCGTCGGCCTCGTCCATCGGCCGTTTGCCCAGCTGCGTGCCCTCGGGCCGGCCGGGCGCGAGCGTGAGCGGGGCAAGCGCGAGGTGCGAGGGCTCATGGCACCCGACGTCTCGGGCGATGCGACTCGATGTTGGCCGGGCCCGCCGTGGCTCGGCGGTTGCCAGTCGCGAGGGTCGCGGAAAGGCGGCAGGCTGCGGTCGTCGCTGGGTCCACCCTTTGGCAGGCGGTGCGAGGCGGCAAAGTGGGGCGGCGTCGGCCATTGCTCGCCTCTGCCTCCACGCTGCGTCATGTCGTCGGTGAAGCTCGAGATGGGCGGCAGTGCGGGCCGGTCCTGCGGTTGAGCGACCGCCATGGCCTCCGTCATGGAAGGCTTGGTCGGCGTAGGTTTGCCAGCAGGGTTCGCCTTGTTCATAGCCCCCGGCTGCGAGGAAAGCTGAGTCCGTTCTGTGTCGATGGCTTGGCGGTCGCGGTGGGTGTGCGAGTGCTGGCTTGCGTCGTTTGAGATGCGTTCAAGCGATCAAGTATCGGCAAGGAAGCGCGAATCAGTGTCGGTCACAGATGTAGCACCGGATTGAATGGCGGTGAGATGATCTCTGGCAACTCGGCAGTCAGAGGGCGTGGTAGCGATTGTCGTGATGCCCAGCAGGGACAAGGGCGTATTGGCAGCAAGATGCGGTCGGAGCAAACGTGCGTGTATGTGCGTGGAGCGTGCGACGAGGCTGGCGGTGCTATACCGAAAGGCACCTATTATGGGCTCGCGCGGTGTGTTTCGGTGGGGCGGTCGGTGTGGGGAGCAGCACCCGATGCACTGGGGAAGTAATCTCGGTCGGAGCGATGGGTTGGCGCCAGGTCCAGCGCAAGCGTGGACGTTGGGCCGCAGGTCGTGGGGGTGGGCGATAGCCACTGCCAGGGGAGGAACGCTGAGGGATCGAAAACGAGAGCAGGCAGCCGGGGTGTGTCGCAGCGGCGAGCAGTCGAGAGAGCGTGGGTGGCTTCTGTGGGTGCGGTGGGTGCGTGGGTCGTCCAGAGGGCGCGGGCGGCGGTGCCTATGGTGGGGACGGAAGTGCAAGAGGCTCAGACGGAGGGAGCACCGATGGTCGAGGGACCAAGGCACGGGGCAGATGGGGATGATTCGACGGAGCGATGACAGGGGTGAGAGAGAGCAGACGAAGAGGAAGAGGAGGAGCAGGACGGGGGAGCTGGAGGAGGAGGAGGAAGAAGGAGGAGGAGAACGAGAAGGAGGGCAAGCAACGCCGCGAAGGAACGAGCAGCCCGAACAGAGGAGCGCGAAGGCAGGCAGGCAGGCAGGCGGGGGGCGGGGGCGAGGGTGGGCGGGAGCGGAGGGTTGCCTGCCAAGCCCGTGAGTCGGGCTGCCGTCCGACGACCAAGGCTCTGGGGCGGCCTCGCAGCGGAAGGGCCGACGAGGTCAGAGTGCAGCTCAAGCAAGCAGCGCAAGCTACCGAGATGTAGCGCAGGGCAGGGCAGGGCGTGCTGCCGGCCGCCTCCTGCTTCTGCTGCTGGCTCCTGCTGAACCGCCGCCGCCACCGCCGCCGACGCCAGAATAATAGCTGGGGAACCAGAATGGAAGCGGCGGCAGCGGCGAATAGCTGGGCGGACGGGCAGGCAGGTCAGGCCAGGCCAAGCGGCAAGCAAAGGCTGGGTGTCTGTGGAGCGGAAAACCCGCCGTCGATGAGGGCTGGCTGGCCTGGCTGGGTCGACGCCCGAGGGCAGCCACCCAGCCTTCATCTTCTCAGCTTCGAGTCCGACTGCCTCTGGCTTCCACGGCCCACGGGCCCGCCTCACAACATCACCACCCGACCCAACATCGAGCCGCGCACCGCTGCCAACCAACCCGATGCAGTCTTCATCTCTCGACTCGCCATCATCGGCTCACAAACACAACAGGTAGGGGAATGGCCGCGGCCAGCATGCAAGAGACCGGCCGCGCAACGGCGCCCAAAGCGGCTTTGGCAGCAGCGGCCGCGGCCAGCAATTTGGGGCCACTAGGGAGGGGCACAAGCGGCAAGGACACTCAGGCATTCGGAGAGCCGGCGAGGAGCGAGGCGAGGCAAGCAGAACAAGCAGAGCAGAGCAAGCAAACAGCAAAGCAATTGCGAGCTAAGAAGGGCAAGCTCAACGAGGGTTCACAGCAAGAGGGGCCCGCCGCGGATGATCCCGAACGGCGGTTGCGGTACCGCTATTTCCTCTTGGCCCCTCGACCCTGACCCGCCTCCGGACGTAAGGGAGTTCGCCAGCGCCAGCCCCGGCCTCCCAAAGCAGGCCGCAAGCCAGGCCGGCCAGGCCCAAGCCGCACGTCCGACTGCTGGTGTATCTGTTGCTGCGCTGTCGCAGTTGGCTGTCTGACCATCGTCATGCCTGGGTCGCAACCCGAGCGCCGGCTCCCATCATCGCTTGCTCCCTGCCTACCTGCCCTAGCCTGGGCTTCCTGCGCCTGCCCGCCCTTGGTCGTCGGACGGACGGACGGACGGGGCCAAACGCACGCCCGTCTTTCCGGTCGCATGATTTCCAGGTTCCTGCTTGCTTCTTTTCCTCACCAGCTGCCCGCCTGCCTGCCTGCCTGCCTGACTGCCTGAAGGGCCGCCGCCTGTCTTCGATTTGCCCTGGCCCGCTATGCTGGCGCTGCCCCCTACGCCCTTCCGTTCCTGAAGAAGCCACATACGATCGATCTCAACCCTGCTTGCTTGTTTGCCCCCTTGCCGGCCGACCTGGCTGCGAGTTCATCTACAACCCGGCCTGCGTCGGGAGAGCAAGGCTTGCAGCGTAAGAGGGGACCCAAACAGCGCAGCGATCCAAACAGCCAAGCGGGGGCGGCGCCGTGAGCCAAGCCAAGAAGCAAAGCAAACCAAAGCAGAGCTGAGCAGAGCAAAGCAAAGCCAAGCCAAGCCACAGGCAGAGCCCGCAAACGGCCACTACCTCACCGCACGCCGGCGACGACTGAGGCCGACGACGGCCGTCTCGCCGTTTGGCTGGCGGCCTCGCGGGCGTGAGTTTGCTTCCCGCCTCCACCTGGGTGGCCCCGTGTACCGGCCAGCACAGGGCCCATGCCAGAAACGTCGCCGACAGGCGGACAACCGCGCAAGCAAAGAGCAAGCACCCAGGTGCCCAAACATCTGCACCCTATCGGCCCCTTGCGCGTGCTTTCCTGCCTGCCTGCCGGCCTACAGATCAGGGAGCTGGTTCCTGCGCCTACCTACGCATGCATGCTCCAGCGCCTGCCATCCGGCCAGTCTGCTTGCCAACCTATAGCCTCATCTCGTCCCCGGCTTCTGCTCCCCTGGCAGCGTGGTCCTCGGTGCCTGTCCCCACCACTCGGCGTACTCCGCGTGTACCGAACCGTGCCCACCTCCGGTACCGCCATCCGTCCGCGCGGGTGTCGACCTCCGCGGAAAGTCGGAGCGGACGATGCGCATGCATGCACCGACCGTGATAGGCTATGGCAGGACAGACTGCCATGAGAGGGTGGAAGGCCGCCAGCGTTGCCATGCTCGCCGGCCGTCGAGATCGTCAACAAAGGGCCCGGACGAACGAGTGGTCTGTAGGGCGGTCGACGTCGAGTCCCCGATGCGCCGTCGTTGTGAGAGAGGCCCGTCGACAACAGCGAAGGCCACCGAGGGAGGGAGGGGAGCACACGCCGGCCTGCTATCCGCCTGAGCCTCCCTCTCGATGCTCTTTAGGCTCGGCCTGCGCCCCGCCTCTGACCCTCCCTTCGTAGAGTACCTCTTGCTCGGAGCCTTTTCCGTCATGTAGCTTGGCGGCGTATGCCTTAGCTTGGCTTCGGCGAGTCTTCGGTGCGGCACACGCGACCGCGCGTGCGTTTGTGTGCTTCGCTGTGAGCATTTCGCTCTCCGCCATCGGAGCAAGGTCCGACCCGAATGAGCTGGCTGCGCAGCCAGATATGTCCATATATATGTAGGTGAGGGTACACCCTGGTCTCGATCGAACCAGGCCCGAGCAGCAGCAAGCAAGCAAACTACACTCGGACTGTGGCAAGTTAAGCTCTTTCCTCACGGCCGCTGCGGCATGTCTCGGTGAGACCCGAGCAGGAGGTCTCCAGCGCGCCAACCGATCGAACAAGCAAGCAAGCTAAGAAATCAGGGCTGGGAGCGCATGGTCGCCGCAGGGAGGGGCGCATGATTGCGGCACCGCAGTCCTGGTCCCGCCGCAGGAACAGGCGGACGGCGCAGGCACAGCGTACGCGGCCCGCGACAGACCGACGGCGGTACAGTCGGTCGGTGCGATACGGTGGCCGCCCTCCCTCGGGGCCGCCGTGGCCACTTGCGCACATGCCGGCTCGCCCGGCTCGACCGCCGAGGCCGCTGGGCCGACGACACGACGACGACAAGATGGCGCGGGTGGGTATCCGGCCGGTGATTTCAGACGGAAGCATCGGCGGTGCGGATGGCTGTGGCTTCCGACTTCGGGTCGGGTTCCGAGTCTCCACCATCGAGGCCCGCTTGCGTTGACGGGAAAGGGAGCCAAGCAAGATGGCGGCGGGGCGTGCGGCGGCGGCGGGGGGCTCCGATCTCAGAGCCTCGTCGGGGCGGATCGCATGCGGTTCGAGCAACACGGTGATGCCCTCGCCAGAAACGGACCTCATCACCTGCCTGGCCTGACCTGGCTTGGCCGTACGGCAACGCCCCCGTGTCTGGGTGGGTGAACCCCAGCTGAACAAGTTAGTGGCACAGGGGCAACCCCGCCTCGTCAAGCCTGGTACAAAAGATGGGCATGGGCCGGATGCCGGACGCTTCCGCCGCACGGCAAAGGCACCTTCATCGCCTCTTGTCTCCTCCTCTCGTGTCTGCGTTTGCCCGAACAGACAAGACTTGACGACCCATTACAGTAGGAACCTCCTCTCGCCGCCTATCGCCTAGCGTCACCACCTGAATACGCAGCAGGTGCAGCCGTTCAATGAGCAAGAATGAGCCGGCGCACAGTGGCCATGGATGGACAGTAGCACCGTACGTGCCGTGTTGTACGAAATAACGAGTCCGTGTACATGAATGTGGCCCGCTGAATCGAATCGATTCCAAGGCACATGATGGAAGGACAATGGCACATGATGGAAGGACAATGGTCGCCTCACATGCAGTTGTCAAGTGGTGAATGGAGGGGCGACGCCCAAGACCTTCTCTCGCCGCCCTCGGGCGAAAGAGTAGTGGTAGACCGTATTCTTGCTGTCATTACAGTGTGTTGTCGAAGCTGCGGGACGGGGCGCGGAAAAGGGTGGGCCGAACAGCCT